CACTGGCCAATCAGTGTTTTATTTATTGACCCATCAGAGTATCTGTTTGACATACAAACCATCCTACAGCAGGTAGGTGATACAAAAACTCTTCTCTCTCTCTCTCTCTCTCCCTCTCTCTCTCTCTCTCTCTCTCTCTCTCTCTCTCTCTCTCTCTCTCTCTTTTCGTTTTGAGAATGGCTGGCCATGAACTCGCAGTCTTGCTTCAGCTTCCCAAGTTCTGGCATAAAAGAACCATCATGTCTAGCTGTCATGTCTCCTTTTACAAAGGGACTGATCTCATTCATGGTGATTCCTCCATAACACACAGTCCGTAACCGGTCTAATGATACCTTGTAACTCATTTAATTACCTACCCACCTTGACAAGCTTTTATACTTTCATGTAATCCCTGTGCTTCCTACCAGCCTATTCCATGTCTGATCTATACATGAGGATAGCCAGTCTTGGCGACTTACATCTCCAATCTTCACTTTCTTAGTTGTTCCTATGATCGAAATGGCTTGCAAGTCATATAAGTAAAGTGTGTGTATGTTTGTAGATGTGTGTGCACATGTGTGAAGGTACAATTTAAGAAGTAGTTAGTGTGGGTCACACCTGTAGTTTCAAGCTGGTGTTTGTTCCTGAGGTAGGCATCATTGCTCCCTTTAGCTGCAGAGGAATCTGAAGTTCAGGAGTGCTGTGAAATAATCCTGTTGTACACTGTAAAGATTTGTCACTCAAATTGGTGTAATAAAATGGTGTTTGGCCAGTATCCATTCAGGAAATATAGGCAGGGCAACCAAACTAAGAATGCTGGGAAGAGGAAGGGAGGAGTCAGGAGTCACCAGCCAGATGCAGAGGAAGCGAGATGAGAATCTCATACTAAGAAAAGGTACCAAGCCACGTGGCTAAACATAGATAAGAATTATGGGTTAATTTAAGTGTAAGAGCTAGTCAGTAATAAGCCCGAGCTACCAGTGGAGCATTTATAATTAATATAAGCCTCTGTGTGATGATTTGGGAAGTGTCTGCTGGCTATTTTGGAGTTGCTGATGGGACAGAAACTTCTGCTTACACAGGAGTGCTTGTCTTGCTCAAGGTCACTCAACTAAACTAGATAGAGACCATCTTAAGGTACAGACCCAAGACTGTCTGCTTCCAAAATCACATTCCTGACCCCTGTGTGTTACCAGTGCACAGGAGGCAGTGACCAGCCACATTAGATGAGAGAGTAACAAGGGCCAATGACAAAAGAACACTTAGCCAGGTGTGGTACAGGCCTTTAATCCCAGCACTCGGGAGGCAGAAGCAGGTGGATCTCTGAGTTCTAGACCAGGCTGATCAACAGAGTGAGTTCACCAACAGCTAGGACTGTTACACAGAGAAACTCTGTGTTGTTAGTATTTTACTCTTTTGGGGGGCCCTGTCACCCAGCTCCCAAATAAATTCACACCTGGAGATTATTAATTATAAATGCCTGGCCTTATCTTGGCTTGTTTCTTGCCAGCTACCCTTAACATATCTCATCTACCTTTTGCCTCTGGGCTTTTCCCATTCTCTTATTTCTGTAAATCTTACTCTCATGCAATGGCTTGCTGTGTAGCTGTGTGGCTACATGGCTGGCCCCTGATGTCCTCCTTTTTCTCTGGCTACTTCCTTTTCCCTCCTCCCAGTTTTCTCCTTTTATATATTCTCTCTACCTGCTAGCCCTGCCTACCCATTCTCCTGCCTTGCTATTGGTCATTCAGTTCTTTACTAGACCATCAGGTGTTTTAAACAGGCAAAGTAACACAGCTTCACAGAGTTTAACAAATGCAACATAAACAAAAGTAGCAAACTTTAAAATAAGATTCTACAACAAACCTGTCTCAAAAAACGAAAACATTTACCATGGTCTCCTATTCCTTGTTCTCCCTCTCTGTTCTTGATTCAGGTGGGATCTCACGCTCTCTTTCCCTCGCCCCTCGCCCTTCATTACTCCCACTCATGTCCAGGTTGTTCATGTAGATCTCAGCCATTTCTCCATCATTGGGCAATCCTCATGTCTTTCTTGGGGTCCTGTTTTCCAGGTAGCCTCACTGGTGATGTGAGTAGCAGTCCAGTCATCCTTGTT